TCTCTGGGAATCCTCTCACTACCCCACCTCTGGCCTGTACCCCAATTCTTGTATGAATTGTATAAAAACCGATGGGCATATACATGACAAGCAAACTTCCACATTCTGCACGTGAGTACAACTTCCTATTTAAGCAAAGGAACTCCAGGTGGTTCTCCTGTCCTTTGTTTTGTGGTATTTCCCAAAGTTACAAAGTGCACCAAAAACAGGCACGCACACACCCCTGTTACATTCCAGGGGACAAGAGTTTTGTTTTATAATAAATGAAAAATAAATGAAAAATCCTGCCTAGTGTCTGCCCAGACAGCTCCTGACTCCAAGTCTAGATCTAAACTAGACAAAACCTTCCCAGATTCTCTAAAGGGCCATCTACATTCTGTTGACACTTGGGGGGCTCCAGGTGGCCCAGGAGTTTCCTCCAAAAGATTTTAGGATGATTTTTAGGATGAGTTTTACTTTTCCCTGCAGCTCATCACGCTATGACCTGCAATCTGAGTGCCACTTCGCTGACCTGTAGTCAGCAAACCCTTCCCATGGGGGACGCACAATTAAATATCTTTCAGGCCCTCCCTGGTGGCACAGCAGGTTAAAGCACCACACTAAGAAGCTAAAAGCCACTTCTGCATGAGTTCGATTCCCGCCTACCCTGGAAGTGACCCACATGGCGAGGCAGACCTCTCCTGATCTACCAGCTGCTCCCCTCAGCAGTGTGCTTCATCAATCTGCCTGTTCTGTTCCCCACTCTGTCTCTGGTGAAGCCCCTCGCTGCCCCTGAGCCTCTGGGGTGTACCCCAGTTCTGTATGCACAAATAAATAAATCTTTTAAAAAAAAAAAAAAAACCACCTTGCAGCTCCTCCTGGCCTGTGTCTTATGTGAAAGTAGAAGAAAGCTGACGTGGTAGGAGGTCAACCCAACCCGACGTGCTCATTCATGCCTGCGTGGAACCCCAACCTTAAGGGGGGCGGGTCAGCTTGGTGGGCCTGAATGGAGGCAGGGGTGCCAAGTGTCGTGGTTTCCACGTTTGTCGGCTACGTCGGGCGCCCTGGACTGCAGCGCGCGCCCCCGAGGGTGGACCGGGGCGTAGAAGCGGGCGGGCCGCGGGGACCCAGGCCAGAGGCCACGGCGGGGGGCGCGCGCCTACTTACTCGTCGGGCCCGCCTGGCGGCTCCAGAAAACCACCGCCGCAATGGCTGCAACAGCCGATGCGGGCTGCAGGCGCCGGCTGGGAGCCTGGGCAGGCGTCGCCCGGCCGAACGGCGGGGCGCACAGGGAGGGCCCAGAACTGGGAAGCCCACGCCCAGCTCCGCCGCCAAGGCGGGGAAAGCGACGGGCCAAGTCGGACCACTTCCACGTCCGCCCACCCCTTTTCCGGGACGCACGTACACACGCACGCACGCACGCATGCAAGGACACGCCTCCCTGAGCGCGTAAGGAGAGGGACCGAGGCCGCGACTCTCCTCACTTCCGCCCACCCCTTTTCCCTGACCCACGCACGCACGCACGCACGCACGCACACAAGGACACGCCTCTGGGGCGGGGTGTCCTCACAGCACCGCCCCCCGCCCCCGCCCGCCGGAAAGCGCGCGTTCACGGAGGCCCCGCCCTTGCAGGGACTTCCGGCAGGCGAGTACCTGAAACTGTCCCTCAGCCTCTGTTCCCCGCCCAGGACGCTGCTGCTGGGTTGTAAAGGTTCCCCCAAGTCCGGCGAGGAACAGCAGTCGCTTAATTAAACGTTTGCTGAGTGCTTAACCTATACATGGCTGTTTAGTTTTAACGCAGCTTTCAAAATGTAGAAACGAATTCGGTGAGAAATTTTCAAAGGAAAATTTTTGTGCCAGTTTTTTTCTGAATCTTTTAAAAATATACTTAATCTATATTTTCAAGATTTTATTTATTTATGCATACAAGAACTGGGGTCCAGGCCAGAGGCACAGGGGGGTGAGAGGACAAGAGACAGAGTGGGGAGCAAAACAAGCAGACATACTAAAGTACACTGCTGAGGGGAGCAGCGGACAGGTCAGGGGAGGTCTGCCGCGCCGCGCCATGTGGGTCAGCTCCCGAGCTGGGAATCAAACTCGTACCGCAGTGGTTGCTGATAGCATCGTAGTGCTGCACTTTAACTCACTGAGCCACCAGGGAGGGCCCTAGTTACTCTCTTTAAAAACTGCTATGGTTTGTCCACACAGTCTTAGTTCAACCCAATGTCATTTTAGTTAATCTCCACAGTAAGCATGCTGCAAAATAGGGCCAGGGAGATATTGTGATTGAGGACATAGAGATCCACCTATGAAGTCTCTACAGATGAGCTGTAAAGGAAGAAGCTGTACTTGACTCGAGAAAATAAGGCATGGCTGGATGCCAGTCCTGTGCTCTTTCCTTTACCTTTACTCAACAAACATCTGGATACCGAAAAGCTGTGTGTGGGTGGGTGGTGGGCACTGAGTAGATTCTAAACAAACGACATTTCTGAGGGAAGCAGTATGATAAGAAGGAAAGCCATAGATTTAGGAGTTAGATTTCAGTTTCAATTCCAGACTTTGCAGAGATGGACTGAGTCATCAAAAACACGTTGCCTTTTTTTTTAGATTTATTTATTTATGCATACAAAAATTGGGGTACATATCAGAGGAGAGGGGTGAGTGAGAGGATTCACCAGAGACAGAGAGGTGAGCAGAAAATGCAGACTGGTTGAAATACACCTGCTGAGGTGAGAAGCAGGTGAGACAGGAGGGGTCTGCTGTATCATGTGAGTCAGCTCCTAGCCAGGGGTTGAACTCAAACTGCAGTATTTAACCCTGCATCATCAGGGAGGCCCTACAATATATTTTAACCCAATGACTTATGGCCTTGCCTTAATGGTGAGGGAAGCAGAGAATGATGGGGGGAAAGAACTGAAAACTTGAAGGAAACATCACAAGGTTAAACCTGACTCACACAAGATAGAGATTGTGCCCACTGTGAAATCTCCACCCACCCGCCCGCACAGTCCCTTTAAGATACACATAGTTATCCAAAATCAGCAGCAAACAGGTCCCTCCACAAAGGAGTGAGCTCCTCCCAGAGAGAAAAGGACTCTATCAGGGCAGTTTCTGCCCTGGCCTGGGGCACCAGTCCTTTGCCCACCTGTGCCCATGCAGGTGCTCCTTCCCACCCACCCTCTCCCTTTGCAGGGCAGCAGCCTCCTGACTGCCTGTGACCCGCACCTGCTGGGCCTTCTCTGCACTGACCTCCCTCAGCAGAGGCCACTCTCCTCAAAGGTGCCCAGCTGCAACCATGCAGGTCTCTCTAGCAAACCTGTCCCTTTTGGAGCAGCTCTTTCTGCCTGTTTCTGTCCCCTTGCCCTAATAAACTCGCTCTTTAATTATAATTAATGTCTCTGTCTCGTGGAGAATATCACCCGAGAAACTGGCCCCCGTGTTGCTGAAAGGGGAGCTCTTGCAAAACCTGTCCCTGAGTGACCTCAAGGACCCCATACTTCACACTCATCACCAAAAACTACATCAGAGAATATATGAAACTAAATACAAACCTGAAATTGTAACATGCTTGAAAAGATAAGGTTCAGAAACTAGAAGTATGAACCACTAGAACTCTGAAATCCCAACCTACAAACTATTAGTACAGAACAAATACATGGTTGAATCATTCTTAAAAGTTCTGAAAACACTTTTCTTTGAAACAAATCTAAGCTAAATGAATGTGAAAGTAAAAGAAAATCCTTCATAAAGAAAAAAACAGCATAGTTAAGGACCATTCTGTTGGAGTGCGGTGGGGCAATCCACAAAGTCACTGATTATCTAAGGATTAATTAGTGTTCATACTAATAGCAAATCTATAAGAGGAAAATAGTAACACATTTGGAATTCAGCTAACCAGGGACTGACTTTTTAACATTTGTTAACTCTCCCACTTTGAACACCAAGCACTGTATAACCACCCAAATATTCCAGGCTAAAATTTCTAGGGTTATTTCTAAAATAATTCCAAACTCCACTGACTACAAGAATGAAATTGATCTTCATTCTGCTCCAGTTATGGAAAAGGTAACTTTTTTAGTTCCAGAGAAAAGAGACATGTATAAACCTACTTGGTTTTGAAAGAGCAAGTAGATGTTTTCTCATCAATATTTAACCACATTACCTTTGAGTCCATTATTGTAGAAAAATAAAATCAGAAGTACTGGGGCCAAATATATTACCTGAAAATTCAATTTACAGGGCTTCCTGGTGGCGCAAGGGGTTAAACCTCAGTAGCCCTGGCCCACATGGTGCAACAGATCTCTCCTGTTCCTTCTGCTGCTTCTTTCAGCAGTGAATTTCTGTCAATCTGCCTGTTATGCTCCCCACTATCTGTGGTGAATCTTCTAACACCCCCCCCCCCCAGTTCTTGGATTCATAAATACAAAACAAGTCTTTACAAAATAAATTCAATTTACAGAACCAAAGACCCTAGCGACTCCTGTTTTGTTACTCGTGGACTTAGGAAGGTTGAAACAAAGTTCAACAGTTTCCAAAAAAGTATCAGAATATTTCCATATTATAATTACCTTCTAGGTACACCCCTATCTTTCCAGTATTCCCAAAATACCTCTCCGCCTTTCCCTTCATGCTATTTTAAATTGAGTTTATCTAAGCCAGAAAAACAGAAATGAGCAGCCTGTAAAATCTTGACTGTCCTAGTTTAAGATTTTCAACCCAAATTCTGGGACCCACAGTGAGAGCAGTTTGGAAGCTGTACACGCAACACCCCCATAACCCACTCCCCACTCCCCTCGCTTCCTTCTCCCCAGGTCTTGAGAAGGAAGTACACATGCGGTGCTAACTTTAACTGCAGGTTAAGTTCCGAACTCTACACCTTAAATCCCAAGCAGCAGGCGCCAACTCCTCGCCCCGCCCCAGTCCACCCTGGCCCCGCCTCCGCCCCTGACCGGAAGTGCGTCATGACGCTCAGGCGCCCCGTCCCCGGATGCACTTTTATATCCGGATTCTTAGAGCGGCCGCAGAGCTCCACGGTTCCCTACGCGGTTAGCACATGCGCGCCGGCCCCGCTCCCTCTTCCTCCACTTCCTCCAGCTCCCAGCGTCCGGGCAGCCGCCGCCACCGCTGCCAAGGAGTCAGGAAGTGCAAGATGGCCGCCGCCGAGCCCCAGGCGCTGCGGGAACAGCCCGAGTAAGTGGAGTCTACGACCTGGGTGGCGCGGGAGGCCGCAGCCTGGGCCCTGCCGAGTGGGGAACGGCGGCGACTCGCACGGTGGCGCGGGAAAGTTCGGGCCTAACACCGAACGCCAAACTTTGCCCTTCCCCGCGTGGTACGTTGTGGGGCGAGAGGCACCGGCGGGCGGCCTTGCAGCTGCGCTCCCCGGAGGCCGCGGCTGTTGGGTCGAGGGCGGCCGCGGCCTGCGCGCGGCG